AAAAAATCAAGTGAACAAATACTCTGATGAACAGAATAAACTGGTGAATATAATAGAATCAGGGGCATAGAAAAGGATTGGACTGACAATTCTCTGGAGGAAGGGGGTGTGGGAGGCGAGGGAAGAGACTGGACAAAAATTGTGCACCTATGGATGAGGACAGTTGGGGCGGGGGGTTAGGGCGGAGGGTGGGGTGGGAAACGGGTGGAGTGGAGCTATGGGGGGGAAAAGAGGAACAACTGTAATAATCTGAACAATAAAGATTTAACTTAAAAAAAAAAAGAAAGAAACACCAGTGTGAGAGCACATCAATCAGGTGCCTCCTGCATGCTCCCCAACAGGGGATCAAGCCCACAAGCCGGGCACATGCCTTTGACGAGGAATTGAACCAGCAACTTCCTGGTGCACAGAACAATGCCCAACCAACGGAGTCACACTAATATTTTAAATACTAGTTCATATTTCCAATCCTAATTGCAATAATCTGCATAAGATAATGGGCTACTGTGCTATCTATTACAACTCTATCACTAACTAGAAGAAATTCACTAGCCTGAGTAAATCAGTTAATTCTATGGAATTCAGCTTCCTCTTCCATAAATAGGTTAAGCAAGATAGACTTTAAGGTCACTTTTAGCTTTAACATTTTTAATGTTAATAACCTTCAAATTGTCTCCTCCTAATTCTCATTTTTGCTTTGTTATAATACAAGATTCTTCTATTTCTAACTCAAGATATAAAAGTCAGAAAGCAAAGACTTTGTAGTATATAAACCAATAAAACAAATGAATGTTTTTGTATAAAAATTATGATCATAATCTTAAAACAGAAAATTGCCTGACTTTATCGCTAAAACTTTTCTAAGATTGCCCTGGGTAGTGATCTTATCTCTATACTTTTCCATACTTCTCACTTCAAATATATGTGTGCAACTTTTATAATCAGAAAGAAATACAATCCATAAAAATTCCAAATATACATACCCTGTAGCCTAGTAATTCCATAACTTAGAAAACTATATGCACATCTGCACAAAAATAAATGTAAGCATTATTTTCAAATAAAAAAACTGAAAATTAAGGAAATGATTGGATAAACTGCACAATACCATACAGCAGTAATAAAGAGTATTGGCAAAGAGGGATTAACACAATACATTATGGAAGAAATAACAGGACACAAAATAGTGTAACCTTTTTTATTTATTCACACACATACACACACACACACACACACACACACACTATCCATTTCTGTAAGCACATAGTTATTTAACTACATAGAAAATGGTCTGTCAAGGACAGCCAAACTATTAACTGTAATCCAGAGGGGATTTTTATTTTATCTGAATTGTCTGGCAAAGCAACTACCTTGTATTCATTTGTGCATTATTTAATTTTTAATTTAATTTTTAAATATAAACTTCATTACTTTTAAACCATGCTTTAGTAAACCAATTCCTCTGAAAAGATGAGCAGAAATACCTACACTATGACCCATAAGAGTTCAAAAATTCTAATACTTGAACCCCTTCTACACATAAAGGACTAGAACAGAAAGCATTTATCAAGTTCTTAATTTGTGTTGGTCCATGATAGGTACTTTACATATGTTATCCCATTTAATCCTAACATGAGAATTACCATCATTTTCTTCATGAGGAGATTGATGTTCAGAAGTTAAATAACCTGGCAAAAGCATAGTGATATTATAAAACAAGATTAAGCTCAGGTCTGCCTAACTCTAAAGCTCAAGTATCTCTTAAAGTAAAACTAAAGTAGATGTTCCTCAATCTACCTACAACTGAACAACTCTACCTCAAATTCTTAAGCTTTCAAATGTCCAAATGATCTATTTTTAGCTCAATTAGAAAACATAATAAACTATAAAAAGTATTCTGAAATATACTAGAAGTTTGATTACAAAATGTGATTTAGGGAATAAACTACTTTTTAATATATGTATAAATTAAATATACATTACATGCTCTAAAAGTAAATCTCAGCTATCACAAAAATACTGCATTATGAGGATAGCTGTTGAAATGAAGTATTCTAAAGTTATCACCATCAAAAAATATTTACTATGATATTCACACTGAGCCATAATCATAATTAAGGAGCAAATGATTATATATATCACAGAAGTTAAAGAATCTAAGAGGAATGAAGAGAGACGAAAAGACCTAAAGAAGGACAGATGAGAAGTAATGCTGATGAACAAAAATCACATTTCAAATCCTCTGATATTCCCCTAGGAATTACTTCCAGAAGAGATTTAAAAGCCTCCTTTACCCATGCACACAAAAGGATCTCCTTTTAGCATTCTATCATAAAATATGGCATTGTTATGATGCAATTATGTACTATTAAAGTCTCCACTGGCGATTTAAAAGCTAATCTGGAGAGCTTAGGCCAAGACAAAAGCAAATGTTACTTCTTTCCTAGACACAGGAGAAATATCTGTGTTGAAGATCAACTTTTCACGTGCCCAGAAATCAAATCCAATTCATGTAAATAAAGTAGAATTGTTAGCAAGGCTGTTGGATGCATAATGCTAGGTATGCTAAAATAATATGAAGATTTTAATCAACCATATAAATACAGACATGAAATTATAGATTTTTCAAGATTATATCAAGATATTTAGATTATTGTAATAAAGTGCTCTGTAACATCAGTAAACCATTTCATTATGCAATAGTTTTCTAAAGTTTCTACTGGCAAGTAGAAACTCCTTTCCTATCTGCCTGGCTTTAGTCAAGGAAGTGCACATGCACCCGTTCATATTCAACTACGTATTCTCAGATCTTGCCTTTTGAGAAGTCATTCCACCTCACCACAACAGTAGTGTTATAAAGAACTTACTAGAAATATTTATTATATTAATAAGCACTAAAAAAATTGAAATTTCAAATTGACAGTCTATTTCCCTGTACATTGCTTTTTTTTTAATAATCCTTGACATACTAGGTGTAACTTAGTTATGTGATGAGAATACATTTCATATTCTTTTAATAAGTTACTCTGGACTTCACTAAATTTCTTAAGACAATTTCATTGTACTTATAACAGCAATTTGGATAAATTTTGGTATACCTTCCTAGGACAAATCTCTATCTCTATCTCCCATTTCTAAACTATTAAAAGAGAAATTAATTATAAACAAATAAAAATCTAGTTGTAGTAGCACTTGTTCTGTCACTAAGTGATTATATGATCGTGGCTAAGTTACTCCATTCTGAGTATCAGTGTCCTTGTCTACAAAATTAAGAATTTAAACTAGATAATATCCATAAATCTGCAGTTTTAAGACTTTTTAAAATTCTACTTTTAAAAAGTTTTTTTTTCTTTTCTTTATTATAATCACCAGTTCATTCTGTTCATCAGATTATTTATTCACTTGATTCTTAGATTCACTTGTTGATAGATGCATATTTGTTGTTCATAATTTGTATCTTTACCATTTTCTTCCTCTTCCTCTTCTTAAAAAGTTTCAAATAGTAAATCTCACCTCATCTGAAGAATCTAGTTGTCCCAATGTCCCTGTTGCACCTGCAAAACCTTTGAAAAGGAAAAAAAAAAGTTGCCCTTCATAGTTGTTACATAATGCTTTACTTGCTACATCACAATATCAAAAGCTAAGTTTTGTTATATTAAGACACCTCATTCTAACAGTTAACTTGGCAAAGTTCAACATTTATCTTTAATACATTTGGATCTAATACTTTATATACTTTATACTTTCAATAGGAAATCCCAGTGAAAACCCAAATATAATCATTACAAATGGTGTTTCAAAAATATCTCTATTTTTTTCCCTTTTTATTGAATTTATTTGGTTAACAAAATATACAAGTTGCAGGTACACAATTCTACAACCCATCATCTGTACACTGTATTGTATGTTCCTCATCCCAAGTCAAGTCTTCATCCATCACCATTTATCATTCCCCTTCTCCACACAACTCCCTCCCCTTTAGCAATCACCACACTGTTGTCCCTGTCCAGTTTTTTGCCTGGTTTTTTTCCTTTTTGCTCAATTCCTCCACACCTCCAAAACCTTACCCCAACCTTATTAGTTTTAAACTATGGTTTACTAAATTCTGGGCTACTCTTAAATATAACAACTGCTGCATTTTTTTACTAGTTAGAAACAGAACCTTAATAAACTAAACAAATTCCATTTAAGAAAAACGCTTTCAGCCCTGACCGGTTTGGCTCAGTAGATAGAGCATCAGCCTGCGGACTGAAGGGTCCCAGGTTCAATTCCAGTTAAGGGCATGTACCTTGGTTGCGGGCACATCCCCAGTAGGGAGTGTGCAGGAAGCAGCTGAATCGATGTTTCTCTCTCATCGATGTTTCTAACTCTCTATCCCTCTCCTTCTCCCTTCCTCTCTGTAAAAAGTCAACAAAATATATATTTTTTTTTTAAATGCTTTCTCAGCAGGCTAATCTATTTACTTTTGCTTCTAAATCTTTAAACTTTTATTACTTTCCTTACAAAGAAGGATACATTATTTAAATTTCTCCAATAATGAGAAAGTTTGAAGGGGGTTATTTTGTTTGTTTTAGTACAGAAAAGTTATCATTATCCAAATTACATATTTAGACAAACCTTGAACTGCCAGAGTGCTAGTGCCAGCTGATGGCTCCTGTATACCATATACAAGTTTATCCTCAGGATAGGTAAGTCCAGAGCTCTTCAAAGCTATAAGGTACTTTTCGTGACTTTTCTTTGCACAAGTATTTTCTCCAAGACCTAATATTTAAAACAAATTTAAAATAGGATTAAAATATTCCATTTGAAATATAAGTACAGTCAATTCAGTCACTAGTATATATATATATTATATATCTATAAATAGGTGAATATGCTATTGAAGGGAGAACCCTAGCGTGAATTATATAAAATAGTTTCACACCTTTTTTACTCATGTTTGGCATTAACAATCCCAGAATGCACAGCACATTTATAACAAATAATGAAACCTACTAAGTAACTGAACATCTAAAATATGCCAGAGATATATAAGGCACAGAGCAGGCAAAGATTAATAAGGCAAATTCCTGTCTTCAATGAATTAGTGTTAGAGAAAGACAATATGGTAAAAGACAATTATGCAGTAGACTTCATCATTTGGTTTGATAACCTTTGTTCTCCTGATACTGTGCAACCAACTTAGCCAAAGCAGAGTACTTAGGACAGGTTTCCTGGAGAAGATAATCCCTGGGTGAAATTTTAAAATATTACAACTGAAATCACTGTTAACTCCTGTTTTATTATCATATTTAAGGTATTAAAAGTATAATTTCAACAGAAGTATCAGTTAAAACTAATTTATTCCAAAAAATACTGAAAAGTTTAGGTTCTAGAATTGAATAATCCTAAAACTTTCACTTTAGCATTTCAGCTTATTAATTATTGCCAATTTTTCTATTGTTTTGTTTTTAATATATTATGGAAGATGGAATACTAGTAAAAGAAAACACTAATATTTAAGAATTCCTTAAAAGAAAAAATCATTCTCTGTCTGAAAGCCACATTACCATGGCATTTGCCACCTCTTTAGGCAGACTATGTATCTTAAATTAAGATCTCAGCCTCTCTGATTATAAAAAGATATGAGTTTCTTTAATATTTGCTGAGTTTTATTTCCTCTCTTTACTAGCCTCAATAACTACAATAGAACAGTTTTGGTTTTGTTTTTAAATCTCTGTCCAATCTCTTTGAGCTGGTATAAAAAAAAAAAAAAAAAACTCCAACACAGACTAAATAGATGGGAATTAAAAACAACCATAATTAGTTTGCAAAGAATAAAGAACTCATAACGTTCTATGTAAGAAATGACTAAATTTCTCCTGAATAATAAAAAACACACATTTATCTCAATGAGATAGATTTGTAATACCTTTTAGTTAACAAAATACATTTCATCAATCTCTCACAAGCCTGAGAAAAATGAATATATAAAATCTTATATGGTTTATGAGCATCTACCTAATCTAAAGCTAGCCTAATACAGTAGCCTTTCTTTGTACCACTATCCCCATAACATTCATTTCATTTCAACCACACTAGCCTTTTTTATTCCTTTTTTAAAAATAAGCTCATTTTCACCCATAAATATTCCCACATGTACACTGTATTATGATATTCTTTATATTTATCCTGCTTGGGGTTCTTTAAACATCTTGGATCAATAAGTCTATATTTTTTCATCTAATTTGGGGAATTGTAGTCATGATTTCTCCAAATGTTTTTTGTTTTTTTAATATATATTTTATTGATTTTTTACAGAGGGGAAGGGAGAGTTAGAAACATTGATGAGAGAGAAACATCGATCAGCTGCCTCCTGCACACCTCCCACTGTGGATGTGCCCGCAACCAAGGTACATGCCCTTGACCGGAATTGAACTTGGGACCTTTCAGTCCGCAGGCCGACGCCCTATCCACTGAGCCAAACCGGTTAGGGCTCCAAATGTTTTTTAATGCCCAATTCTCACTCGCTTGTCATGATATTTGGTCATCTTATTCTAATAGGCCCTTGAGACTCTGTTGTGTTTTCGGTTTTCTAGGTTAAATAATTTATTGATGTGTCTTCAAATTCACTAAGTCTTTCTACCTTGTCTAATCTACTGCTAAACCCACCCAACAAATTTTTCAATTAAATTCTTGCACTCTATAGTAATTTTCAGTTCTAGAATTTTATTATTTATGTTTCTTTGCTAAGATTCCTTGTCTCTTTGATCATAATTATTTGAACAGGTTTTTCTTTAATTTCTTAAACATATTTATAATAATTTCTTTAATGTCTACCTGCTAAATCCAATATCTGGGCTATCGCAAGGTCAGTTTCTACTGACTGTTTTGATAACATATTGGACATTGTTTTAAAAAAAAAGAACAGTTTATTTTTTAGAGAGGGAGAGAGAGAAACATGATGTGAGAGTGCAACAGCGATGAGCTGCTGCCTCCTGCACACCCTTTATTGGGGTTGGAGCCTCAACCCGGGGCTGTGTCCTTGACCAGAAATCGAACCGGCAACTTCCTCGTACATAGGATGATGCCCAACCAACTGAGCCACACCAGCCAGGGTGATATTGAACATTCTAATGATACATTATACAAGATTCTGGATTCTATTATCTTCCTATGAAGAGTATTCATTTTATTTTAGAAAACAGTTCAATTAATAGCCTGATCATGGATGTGAGGGCGATCTGGATGCAACATCTGTCAGTCACCCCATTCATTGATCGCCAGGGTTGATCGGGCTATCTGGCTGGCTAGGCAGGTGTCCCCCTCCTCCCTCACCATCCATGTGTGTCCCTCCCGAAGCTGCACGCTTGGTCGAAGAGGATGATCTTCCCCTCAGAGGAGAGGACCGGTCGTCAGTCACGAGTATAGTAGTAGCTGCGCTCCCCTGCTAGAACCTCCAGACAACTCTCAATTAATAGCCTGATCACCTAGAACTCATGAAGGTTTGGTTTAACACTTTTGTAAAGAACAGATCTGTGCAAAGCCTAAGTTTCTCAAAATGCCCTCTGAGCTGACAGGAATCATCTCCATAATCTATCTTCCTTGCAGATACTGTCAGGGCTTTAGGCTTCATTAAGGCTGACCTAGACCAGCCCTTACTCTAAGTTTGGCCTTCTGTCTCAGCTAGATGCCTGAGGTATTAACAAACTCCAATGTCTCCCAATACTACTTAACCAGTTTTATGTTGTTTATGGCATAAGGGATGGACTGACCAATAGTCATAGAGAAAAATGTCCTCTACCTGAAATCTAGTCCTATCCCATTACCACCCAACTCCCCTCACCCTTTGTGAAGCTTTCTCACCTTCACCATCAGTGAAATCAGTCTCTCTTTAGTATACACTTGTCCTACCCTTTCATAGCATTTACTACTTATGATTAGTCTGAGGGTTTTATTAATGTCATCTCATTCACTAGACTATAAGCTTTATAAGGGTAGAAATAGGATTATCAGGTTTATTAATTACCTTCTCTACCCAAGCTCTAATACCTAGCTCAAAGCCAAACCACACAGTGGATATTTAAGTATCTGTTGAAGAAATAAATATATCCGACTATCTGTAAATAACACATGATTAACAATAAACATGGAAATTATACTAAGAAACAAGACAAACTTCAATTTTCAAAACATGCTATTTATGAACCAGCATAAAGAATGCCATTTAAAATATTTACAACAAGATTTTTAAATAATTGATATATTTATTATACTATGAATTTGAGCTAAACGAAAAGTATAAAAACTAAAATATTTTATATAACAGTATAGTATACTATGTAAAAACATACTCAACAATTCCAAGTTTTAAAACTTAAACTCTACATTATTATAAAATCCTAAAAAAACCCAAAAGTTTAGAATACCAAAGATGAAAACATAAAATGGTTGTTGTTCTTGTTAGAAGGAAGAAAGAATATAGTTATGATTATGTCACATCCAAAGTTAACACCCTAACCGGTTTTGATCAGTGGATAGAGCGTCGGCCTACAGACCAAAGGGTCCCGGGTTCAATGCTGGGCAAGGGCATGTACTTGGTTGTGCAGGTTCCTCCCTAGCCTGGGCCCTGGTAAGAGCTCCTACAGGAGGCAACCAGTCGATGTGTTTCTCTCGCATCGATGTTTCTCTCTGTCTTTCCCTCTCTCTTCCACTCTTCCTAAAAATCAATGGAAAGATATCCTGAGGTGAGGATTAACAAAAAGGAAAAAAAAAAGTTAAGAGACCTAGGGTCTAGTCCCAACTTCAAAATAAATTAGTTATAAGGTCTTAAACTAGTCATTTAATTTTTAGGGGGCTTCGTTTCTTCATCCATAAAATCAGATATTCTTAATAACATCCAGCTTTATGAAAAAAAATCTACATTTTACTTTTAAGTTCTAAAATACACAATTTCTAATAAGTATACAATATAAGTAAACTTTAACATTCTTCTACTCTTACACTTTACTCACCAGAAGTCAGATCTTTGTAGTTCTGTTGGTTTGTCAAAACCTGAGTAAGAACAGACCGCATTGCTCCTCCCATTTTAGTTAGATCTTCTAAAAAGGAAATTTGAGGTTCCAAAAGCTGAAGAACTTTGCTAAGGTCTTTTTCTGATGGTACATCAGCTGCTAAAGAAAAAAATTAAACATTATAATTAACTTTGTTTAAAATATTTTGATAAGAATATTTCATTCATTTAAAATTATAGTGACTTAGATGACAGTATTTTATAATCAAAAAAGTTAATATAAAAACTCTATGTGGAAATTAGGTATCCACCAAGCACCCAGCCTAGGGTAGACTTGGTTGGGTATTCAGTCATACAAGAAAAGGTTAATGAGGAAAAAGATACCATAGGTATTATTTACTTTGTGTAAGCAGCATTCAATTTGAGGGCTCTATACTTCCAGATACATAAATGTAATCATAAGATCATTTCAAAATTATATAGTATTTAAGAAAAAAGTAAAACAAGACCAAAATCAAATACACTGTACAAAATTATGTCAGTTCTAAATTTAAACCTGTGTAGCAAATAACACATCCTCTATCATATTCCAAAAATACAGACCTGTATTAGCTGGAGGTCAAAGCAACTAACATGAAAAATAACTGTTTTCAGAAACATGAATGTTTTTACTAAAACAATTTAAAAATACCAGGCAATATATGTCTAGTAGAGATAAAGGAAGAAAAGGGAAACTTGCATAGTAACTGAAAAAGAATATTTAAGAGGAAAAGAAAACAAATGCTTTAGAGAAACTGAGGTCTAAAAGAAAGAAGCGAATAGAGAGATTTAGAGTTTAGCTATGACTGGTTAAAAGAAGAATGCATATAAGGGAGCTAACAGGGTCCAGTGTGCCCAGTAAAAAGGACATCAATTTCATTGATTAATTCAGCATCTACTTCATTATAAGCACTGAGAAACAAAACTAAATTAAGAGATAGTTACTAACTCACACCTAGTTCAAAGATAATCTGTGAATTCTAGACAATGATGAGTCCTGAGACCCAAACCGAAAGCCTTACTTTCTCAATAGAAAACTAATAGTATATGTTATTCATGTTTATAATCTCCCCCAATGACTTATACAGTTAAAATAGTAAATATTTAAGTAACTTTAATTTTTGGTTCCTAAGAGCTCTAACACAAGTTCTGACATTGGTCTGAGGATTGTAGGGTGAAATGAAAATGGAATTCAAGGCAACTGTAAAACCACAAGATCTCTGAACTTCCATTACCACAGATTAGATCATTTGAAGTCCGTTCTTTAATTTTAAAGTCTTTTTTTTCACACAGACACAAGAAATTTATACTAAGCATAAATAGTTATATAGAGAGGAAAACATCATGAATCTAAGTTCATAAAGTTTATCTTAAGACAAAAAAGTACTTCCATTCATTCCTTTATGTTTTCAACAATGGTAACAGACAATTATCAAAGCTATGTATCTACGTTATCTACCTTTATAACTGCTAAACGTCACCATAGGAAAAAATAAATATAATGTACTTTTGTTTGAATTATTATTGAGAAATTGTACAGAAGGCAAGTTCAATAACCCAGATGGTCTCCGGTTCATTCATTCCTAAGACAAGAGTAGTCTGGAGCTAAATCAAAATAATATTTCTTTCTGTATTTTACAAAACATACTCTGAGAAGAGTAGAAGTATTTAACAAAGGATTGTATAATTTGCTAAAAATGTAGACATAAGAAAGGGTTCGCTCACAATGAAGAAAACATGATAGTTTTAGGAATAATAAAGATACTATGTGATATTTCTTCACACTTAAAGGATGGGGGAGATACAGAAGATAAAAATGTGTGCCAAAGTTTCAAATTAAATCTAGGATTATTTATAGCATTAAATAATTTAAAACCTCTAAAAGTAATGCAAAATGCTGTCCCTTATACGACAAAAATGCAGGTATCATTAGAAAAGTAAAAAGCAACAAAAAATTAATAAATTTGTTTTATATCACTAGTGGATATCTGTAATCCACAATGTCAGACTGAAAACTTTAACAGACAATAGCTAAATCCAAATATTTAACTAAAGTATATTTAAAAAGATTATGAATAAATCTTAAAAGGTAAAAAGAATATCTATAATTTGCATGTTTCTTTTCTCTTTTTAATACTATCATATTGCTTACACCCATACATTCTACCAGAAACATGGGAGTGAGCCATTTGACTCTCTCATAAGTTCTTATATATGGAGAGGAACAAAAATATATAGACCCCTACAAAAAAGGGGGGAGGAGGGCAAATCTATAGACAGATAGCTATAGATATTGGTGAAAGAGTAGTTTAATCTTCTAAAAATCTAAGTTAAATTCAAACTTTTCCAGGACTTCTTAATTCTGCTCTATCACAATATAACTGCAAATAGAGTCACTTTAACCCTATAAAATGATTATTTCCTCATATGCAAAAGGCTGATAAATTTTATCAAAACCATCTTTGATCACAGGAACACACAGTGCCCAACTGTGCCAACTACAAGGTTACTGAATTTATATTTAGTGTGTTTTTACTTAATATTTCACAGTCTCCTCATAAAAAATATTGCAAAAATAAGATATCCGAAAAAACTCACCTGTTATTAATGCTAAACTTTGTTATCTGGAATTTAAAAAGAGTACTAACAAAGAAAAGATTAAACATACCTGGCTCATTATAGCCTTCTCTTAAGTACTGAATAAGACAAAAAATAAATCTTGGAAGCACAAATTCAGACATCATGAGTAAGTCTTTGGGGACACAAGGGATATTTGAACTTGATTTAATTTGATGTCTTCTGCAAAACCTATAACATGAAAAACAAAAAAACAATTAATAGTGATGTCTTATCTGCCAAGAATATAGTACTTCTATTTACAATATCCATAAATGGAATGCAAGCCAATATCAAAGCCAATGTATTCTTCCTTTATAATTTTTAAGGCACCAAGTTAAAAGAATTTATAGTTTTAACAAGTCTTTAAATTAAAAAATGGTATTGAGAGATATTTCTTCCTAACAAAAGACCATACTAATTAAGTTCCCACTAGAATACAAAAAGAAATTCTCATTACAGAATTTATATTTTTAACTGCAATTTATTCATTTCAAGTACTATTTTATTTCTTATATCCTTTATAAACCACTAATTATAAATTAATCATTTCCCAAGAATTTGCATTCCTTAACTATTTCTAACTTTTTGCATTAATGAATAAGCGATATAAAAGTTGAAGTTTTTTGACAAAGGAGGCAAGAACATACAATGGAGTCAAGATAGTCTCTTCAATAAATGGTGTTGGGAAAATTGGACAGATACATGCAAGAAAATGAAACTAGACCACCAACTTACACCATACACAAAAATAAACTCAAAATGGATAAAGGACTTAAATATACGACGGGAAACCATAAAAATTCTAGAAGAATCCAAACGCAACAAAATCTCAGACATATGCCGAAGCAATTTCTTCACTGATACAGCTCCTAGGACACTTGAAACTAAAGAGAAAATGAA